GCAAACTCACTTGCAGCTAGCATGTCTGCAGCAGCTAGCTATAACTGTCGTCGACCATATAGCACGCCTGGTCATTATTATGGCTGTATTTGGCCAATTTTCAGTCTAGAGGGACAATGATGAGGTGTTCTCTTCGGGGAACGACAATAGCTCGAACGGCTCCTAGGGATCACAGTCATATACAAGGAGGCCAGACACAAGTACTTTAGGTAAATGGCTTGCCATCATGGTACCAGGGGAACCTAAAGCCGAGAGCCTAGGCTTGGCGAAAGAGGCGCAGGGGCTGTGGTGGTTTAAAGCAATAGTACATTGGCACCTGGGCCGCGGGCATGACACGTTGAATTCTGGAAGCGCGAAACGAAGACGTGACCGCTGATCCAATTTTATCGACGGCAGGCCCAGCGTTTCGACTTTTCGGCCTTGTTTTCTTGTGGTGACAAGTTTCGGACTGCAAGGCTGGGGCTGTGTACTAGTGGTTTAAACTTTAAAGTTTAAACTACACCCGGACCAAAGTAAGAAAACCAAACGCTGCAGCTTGGTCCCGGCCAGCTTGGTTCCAGTCTTTTGGTGGTCCCGGCCTGACAGGAGGGCAGTCTCTCTATCGGCAAATTTGTCCCAGCCTGACAGGAGGGGAGAGATGGTCCAAATACGTCCAAACTGAATACATGATATTATTATTATTGTTTTTTTTTTTTTCTCTCGTAAAACTACGCTATATAATACCTTTCTCACCCTTTGGCTAAGATCAAGTGTAGTATCTGATCCGTGGTCCATCGGGCCACCAAAAAAAAAAAACAAAAAAAAAAACAAACAAACAAACACACTACGCTATATATTCTTCTCTCAAATCTTTCATCATCTTTCAAATCTTTCAATTCACCTTCACTACCTACCCACCACTACTCATAAGGCTTAGACAGGGGACCCCTCCAACCATAGCTTTTGTGTCTCCCTCCAGCCATCAGAGAGGATGCATGTTGGCCCCCGCCCCAACCATGGTGGCCAACACGGGTGTGAGTGTGAGTGTGAGTGTGAATGGGTTGTGTGTGGTGTGTGGCAGAGTGTTGGCCTTAGACACTGCTGTTATTCGATTGAGCGTGGGGGACAATGAAAAAGGAGGCGCAGCTACTGGCCAAATGCTCGGTCTTTGCGTTAGCCGGACCCCCCCCACCAGCGGCCCCACCCCATACTTGACCACCATGGTTGGGGCGGGGGGCAATACATGATATTATTGATATACCCTAAAGCACATACGTATCACACACAAAAAAGAAATCAAGAAAAAAAGCAGACAAGGCAATATGGCAGTTTCCGTGAAAATTTTGGCAAAAATGACACCACCTATTAACCACACGTGCAGGCGCGGGGTCTCTCTAGCTGCAAAATATCACAGGGCTCAGCAGTTCTACTCCAATGTTTCAGTGGCCAGAACGGCTGGACAGTTTCAGAGACCAGTTCCATCCGAGGTGGGCCTAGCCTACCCACTACTTGAGTCTTCATCCTACGCAGGTCTGGCCTACCACTAAGTTCCCGCTGCAACTCACAAGAGTATGAGCCCACAGGTAAGTACCAGGCGCGAGGGCCTCATATAAGTACCCTGGCCGGTCACACACACACACACCCAGGCAATCCTGCATTCAGACAAACACACGGAAACTCAGCAAACATGCACACACACACAGACTTAGACATCTCGGCAGAAAGCCGGAATCTCAGCACATCACACAATCCAGTGGCAAAAAACTCAGAAAAAAAACAGCAGAGTTCTCAGTCTGTGATTTTTTTTTTTCGCAGGTCATTACAGCTGTGCAATTGGGAATGAAGATCAAGAGAAAGCTCAATTGAAAAAAAACAACAATCAGTGTCATTAGTATCATCATGGTCATCATTAGCGGTTTCCGTATGTTCATTCCGGGCAGACTGTGAGGACCCCGGCCTCATCTTATTATTGGTAATATCAGCCTTGGGCACTGGGCCCGGTTAAAAAAAAAAAAAAAAAGGACACCATCCCACACACGAGACCCGAAGGTTGGCAATTTCGTAATATGCATCATGATGAGGAGCGCATCCAACTT